TAGATAAATAATTAAATTCAGAAAATTTGATGGTACATGTACATTTGAGTGAAATGTAATAAGATATGTATCATAAAAGTGATCCAATATTTTTAGAGAAATAACTATACATTCTTTATCAGAACTTATGTATGCCTCTTTTTATTTGATCAATCTTTTTATTTTTCAAATTGTTAATGATTATTTTCAATTCTATTCAAAAATAAGTAGTCCTAGTAAAGTGAGGTAATGCTTATATAATCCCCTTCATTCAGTTTCACATGTCTGAGATTGTGAACGCAGTTTCACATGTCTGAGATTGTGAACGTAGTTTCACATGAGATTGTGAACGTAGTTTCACATGTCTGAGATTGTGAACGTAGTTTCACATTTCTGAGATTGTGAACGTAGTTTCACATGTCTGAGATTGTGAACGCAGTTTCACATGTCCGGTCCCAGTCAGTCGCTGTCGTATATATACACCGTGTATGACTGACACCGGATATAGATAGTAACGAAGCGGGCATGGACGCTAAGCGCAGACAAGCCACGGGATGTTTTCCGATATGTCTGGTATTTTCGGGTAGCGTAGAGACAAATAAAGGAGCACAACAGTTATACAATGAACAATGATGTATGTGATGCAGATGATTTCTAAACTATTTCGTGCGATCTGAAGATATTAATAAAAAAAAAATGACGACAAAGTACCGATAAAAATCATTTACAAAGAAAGAAGAAGAGATAGCTATTAAAGTATGACATATACGATGATGAAACGGACGTTACTGGCATATGTAGATGAGACCGGGATAACCTTTTAATGGTCATATGTCTAAATGTAGTCATTACGATGTAATTGACTGAAATGGTTTTTTGTCTGTGTACGGCGAATTGTAGTTGATACATTTTCAAGTGTACGGCGACTAGCATGTTAACAGTACGGCGAATAGCTATATACTAACATAACCATGTTTAGAGCGAGCATTTGTACCATTGGAGTAACATACCAATCATGTTGCTTTGTAACACTTTTGAATGATATCGTAAAGGGAGGGGGTTAAGAATGTCGAAAGTCTAATGAATGTCGAGTTAAATAATGATAAGGAGTACCCATTTTTCACATGCTATAACACAACCTAAGCTGTGACCATGACAATACCGGTGGATAGTTGAAACTTAAGCTGTGACCTTAACAATAGCGGTGTACAGTTAGAACTTTACCTGTGACCATGGCAATAGCAATGGAGTGTTGGAACTTTAGCTGTGACCTTGACAATACCGGTGGAGAGTTGGAACTAAGGCAGAAGTGACATACTCTTTCCCTGTCATAACCTGAATATACAAGGGGGAAGGGTTACACAAGATATGTTAAGGGTGATGTAGAGAAATCTGCACTAATACCTAGATTTGCAAAGAAATACACGATAGTTAAGTTGACATATCCTCAATTTATTCACAGTTATCTGTAAACAGCATGTGGTAAAGGCAATACAGACGGCTGAAAGTGTAAAATATGTATACCTTTAACAGGCAATGGGAAAAGTCTGTTTCATTCCTACTCAAGTTTTCAAAGTCTATCCTAACTTTATTTTCATCAACTTTAAATAGGCACTTTTAAATTATGGTTTGAAACTTTGTTTTATAATTGGTACTTAAACAAAACATTTTGCAACCCTAATATTTTGAGAGCTGAAAAACAGACACACAAGTATCATTTTGGCCTATCCTTTTCATCTTCAGATCTTTTTCAAATCTCACTGCAATCTCATGTCTTAGTTTATTATTGTTATTTTCATCGTGCAGGCGCGTAGCTTTCTAGCTATATGCAAATGAGTACACATAATTTTGATGAGTAAAAACATATTTAATATACGTGTATTTCAAACCTTTCGTGCGTAAGTAAAGTAAAATTTAAAAAAAATCGCAATAAATACGTTTCCTTACTTTTTTTTGCCAAAATTAAAATCAGATACATAAATTACGTCTACTTAAATCTAATCGCCAAATTTCCACAAAACACGGGAATTTGATCCAGAGACCTTGAATTCAAAAACTTTCCTTTGGGAGGCCAACCCCCAGCTGGGCCTCGCACCCCCCACTACTTGCGCTACACTTATCATAAAAGCAATTAAGCAATTAACTTGAAACCATAGTTTCTCTCACCTGTGTTAAACACCTGACAATCAAACTATATTGATACATTGGAAAGTACCCTACCTGGACGGCAATACAATATACCCCCCACCCCC